ATGCCGAGGCAGGCAGGCCGACTCGTAGGCCTTCCTGACAGCCTTCTGTTCCGGGCTCTCCCTCCCCTCCAGCCTGAAGGCCAACTGGGAGTCCACTCTCTGGATGAAATCGAAGTTGTCGAGGTAGATCCTAAAAAGGTGGGAGCTCGCGGGGAAACTCTTGTCCTTCCGGATCTCTTGATCTCCCGTCAAAAGGAGGGGGTCCACGCTCCTAATCACGTTACGGTGCGCATGCTGGGCGATGCTAACACTGTTAAGGAACCCCATAGGGAGGACCTTGGCGGCAAGGACGCACTTCCTCCCAGTAAGGGAGGAGGGAACGAGGTTGTCTGGGACAAGCTTGTTAAACCCCAGGAATCTTTTCCACGCAGGGGGAACCTGGAAGAGATAGAAAAAGCATCTGATGTCTTCAGACGACAGGAGGGCCACTTCAGACCCCTCCAACACGAAGGCGGACATCCCCGAAATTTGGGGCAACGTTCCAACGTCACCGGAAATACCTCGGCAGTTTCTGTTCAAAGGGATCAAGTTCATGATCAACCGGAGTGTCTCCTTCCCGTTCACAAACTCGCCTTTTCCAACTCCGAACATGCCATTCAGGAGGGGTTGACCTTGTATGTGGAACAGCTCATCCAAAGGCACCACCTCGCAGATCCCCTTACCCACCAAGCCTTGGCAAATAGAAGGCCACTCTTTGGCATCGGCAAAAACTCGGGGAGGCTTGCCTAGACTCATCTCATTTGAAGGGACCAAGAAGTCCTCGAAATGGTCCACGTAAAAGCGGGTTCCAAGGGTGCAAAGCTCTGCCAAGTTGAGTTTCCCTACTTCATCCGGGAGAGCAGGGGCAAGGCACTCCCAACTAAGGTTGACAGCAAGTTTCACCTCATCCCCCTTGTAGTCAATGCCTTTGACTCTCAGGAAGTCCGAGAAGTTCACATCTTGAAAAACCTCACTCTCACAAACCTCAACGGCCGCCGCGAGTTGTTTCACGGCCATGCGTCCAGCGTGCGAGGACCGGCCTTGCGGGTCTGTGCATCCCGCAAGGGAGTTGAGACTCCGGCACACTGCGGACAGCAGCGCATGCTTGGCGGGTGAAAGCTCGGATAGGATTGCTAGGGGAAGAGGAAATACGGATTTCCCTTCCATGGGCTGGGACTTGCAGTGCAACATTCCAACATTGAACAGATCTAGCAAATCCACCAAGCATCCACCGGCCTCGCCTAAGGCTAACCCTGGGAGCCTCAGCTTGATAGCGTTCAGCCGCTCTTGCACGGCCAGAGGGCGCCCAGGAGGGGGACCTTCACGGTCGACCGCCTCCCCGGCTCCCCCAAGAAAAAACTCCACCTCGGAGCCCTCTCCCGAATGCCTCCTCTTCATCACTTCTTCTCCTCCTTCTTCTTGGGCCAATCTTTTGCACGACCCTTATCTTTCCCCTTCTCGCCTTTTCCTTTTCCACCACCTTTCTCATCTCTGCCTCGCGGCCCATACGGCACCCAACCTGAATCTGAACCTCCTCTCCCTTGTGCCCGGGAGCCAGCAGACAAAGCTCGGGCCTCATCTCGTGCCACCTTAGCCGCATCATGCACCTCGGTATAGCGCGCCACACGGGATGCATCCATGGGCAGGAGCTCCATCTTCTGCATCACCGAATAGTGAAGGCCAGCAGCAACCTTCCAGGCTCTTGATCCTTTGCACCAAAAGGTCGCCTAGCTCTGCAGCCCGGCCTTGCAACAGGAGGTCCAGCCCGTAGCACAGGGTGTGCGTCTCTCGAGCCATCGGAGGTGCCATCCTCGACATCAAGGTCTGCCTGAAGTACATGGTGCTCAGAGGAGGGAGCGGGCCATCCTCCAAATCCCACAACTGCCCCGTGTTCTTCAGGAGGCTGGCTCGCATCTCCCTGATTCCTTCAGCCGCCAACACGCCGGGGAAGCGGCGGCCCACCTCTTCGGGCCTCGTGCTGCATCCGAACAGCTCCTCGGGCTCCTCCTCAGACATCGAGGACCTCCCCGAGCTATCATCTGACCTTTTCCTTTTCTTCCTCACTGTCCTGGATGCACGCCTCAACAAGATTTTCCTCACCACAGGGTCCGGGTCCAATCCCGTGGACCCCACCACATCCTTCAACGCCTTCTTACCTTCAAGCACAACCTTCTTCCTCTTTTTCTTTCCTCTCTTCTCCTTAGCCTCCTTCCTCTTCTTCTGATCCGCCTCCAAGTCCCCCGCCTCGGGCTCATAGGAGTTCTCATCAGGAGCAAGAGCTCCCGCAACTCCTGCGTTTCTTAGCTTCTCTGCTTCTTCACGAAGAGCACGATTCTCATCGGGTTCCACCCTGCACGCATTTGACATCCACGCCTCAGAGGGCACACCCGGAACTTCGCGAAACACACGACCATGTACCAGGCCATCCTCGCAGAGCTCCTGCTCGCACTCCCGCGGACACACATGCAGCTTGATGCGCCCCTCAGGAGTGCCTGAGACATACTCCAAGAGTCTTCCGGATCGGGTCCCCTCCACCAAGAGGTCCAAATAAACACCGGACCCCTCAATGCGGGCACCCTTGACAACTCCCACCACAGAAGTTTCTTCCATCCAGTAAACGCATGGATCCAGCCAGATCCTCTGCAACTTTCCCAGGCTGACCATATCGAGCTCGGCCAGCACCAGTTCATCTCCTCCTCCCACACGGCGACGGCGCCTAGGAGGGTTCTCCCCATTCTCTATCACAGCAGCCGCCGGTCTCCTCAAAATCCCAGCAGGGCGCCTCACCAGCGGCAAACCTGCTGCGGGCCTCCTCAAAATCAAAGGAGGCATTACTCCAGCCTCCTTCAACGGCCCCGAAATAGGGCCTGCCTCTCACGCTTCTTCTTGCCTTTGTTCTTTCCTCCTTTCCAAGGGACCACCGCCCGGGGTCTCCTAACTGCTCGAATGGGCCCAACCCAGGCACTGCCAACTCCCGACTCCTCAGGAACAGGAGAGGCAACCGCCTCAGGGCTATCCTCAAGAGAGGCGGCCTCAGGGCTATCCTCACCCTCCGACTCAGTGAGGGACTCCTCGTTGGCCTCCCTCCTACCGGCAGCCAACTCCGAAACCTCCTCAGACAATTCCGCAGGGGAACGGGCCCTAGGAGCCGGGGGTGGGGGATCCCTGGGAGGCACGGGCGCTCTCACAGGTGACGCAGAAGCCTCCCTCCTGCGATGCCTAGCCCTTTCTCGGCTTTTCCTCCTCCGGGAGCTGCGGCTCCTCTTGCTCTCCTTCCTCCTCCGCCTCTCTGGCGTGCGGGAAGCCCTTGGGACCTCCGGGGCTGCCTTGGAGGTAGTAGCAGGAGAGGACGCCGAGTGCGCCCCCTCCCGATCCCCTCCTGCCGGAGGGGGGGCCAGCGGGCTCAGCCGGCCTGGCCCCGCGGGCACCACAGGTCCAGCACCACCGGCTTTGACCTGGGCGAGAGTGCGACCCTTTCGCTGTCTCTGGAGCCGAGCGCCCCAAGACAGGAGGGTCGAGGAGAAGTCCCTGATCCTTCTCCCAAGCTCCTCGCTGTCCTCCCGCTCAAAACCACGGAGGACAGCGAACCGGAGCTGCTCCAAGGAGCTACACACCGTGCACCACCGGAAGGTCCCGTACCGACCTTCACACAGTGGGCACGGCTGCTCCCCCATCCACCTACGCCAAACCTTAAGCTGACGTGGCTGCGGCAGACAAGTGCTTTACTCTTTATACCCGCTACGTGAGTCCATATATATATATATATTATTATATATATATATATATTATTATGTATATATTATATGTCCAGTAGTGATAGATTCCCTTTAAACCCAACAGGGGAACTTAAAACACATATTCTTAAGTAAATGGAAGTTATTGCAAAAAGCCGCAGAAAGGACGGCTGTGGGGTTCATAATTGGCTTGGGTGGCGGGTTCCTGGAGGGTTCCATTAAGGTTCCGGGGGAGGTTCTTTGGAGTACACGGGCACACATTCATGTCAGCTTCCTTCACGAGTGGAGTCACTTGTTCACATTTGGCGTTGTTTGGCGGTGCCCAAAGAGAAAGCCGTGTTGTCACAAGCAAGATGGAGTATTCCAGAAAACAGCGCATGTCCGATGGGAGGTTGAGTCATGTTCGCAGCTGCCGCGAGCATGAAGAGAAACCTTCACCTGGGCTTCCAACATGTTCGGCTCAACACCGAAGAGCCAAGGGGCCATTTCTTGAACTCCTCCAGAAAAGGAGCCTGCCAAGCCATGGCGGCTACATCACCCACGCTGTCATGGGTGCTTGAGCCCGGCTGAGGTTCCGGTCAGAATGCAGACCATGGCTTGGTCTCTCGTTTCCTCTTTCCTGTCTTCTTGGGCGTGATTCCCTGCTGGCCATAGCGGCATACTTTCTGCAGCGTTTCTCGAAACAGTTGAAGCACATATGCTTCACTTTCTGCACTGTGGAGTTCTTTTGCGAAACCAGAAGTCTCTGTCCTTAATCTCCTACAAGTACTTCGCTCGCTGCAGAATATGCCCACCATCCCGACCCTTGCCACTCGGGCTCCAACTGCTTCTACTCATTCTTCCCTTCTCCAGCTTGAACATGGCGTCTCCATCATCGCTTTCTTGAAAACAAACTCATGCAGGTCCCTTGGCTTCAGCCAATCGCTAAAGGAACAGCCCTCTGTTTCTTTTCTTTCCTTGGGGGCGGGGGGGGGTCGGCCGTATCAGCTTGAGTTTCCGGCACCTGCGTCTTGAACCCCTGAAGCTCCACGAGAAATCACATTCTACGGTTTTATCCGGATACATCGCCTAAATGGGGTGAATGGGTGTATTCCCAAGAAGCCAAGAAGCCAAAAACGAAAAAAATGCAACAAAAAAACGGGAAAAAAACAACATCCCAAAACAAATACCCCTCCCATACCAAAAAAACCCTCAGAGCGTGGGGGCATCGGCCCCTTTCGGCAAAGGCCCTCGAGCGCCCCGAAGGCCCCGGAGGCGGCCGAAGGCAAAGGGCGAAGGACGGCGTACTCCACGGTGAGACCACGGGGCGTTGACGCCGAGGCGAAGACTCGGGCCTGAAATGGCGGCTGGCCGCTTGGCCAAGCGCCGCCGCTTGGCCAAGCGCCGCTTTAACAAACGCGACCGACACACCATAGGTTACATCCAACATATGGAAAGTAGGTTAGGTTGCCATGGGTTACCAACCATCGGCTACCAGAGGTTTGATGTATGCACCTGGAAATTCTATCATCAATTTGTTAATTTGGTGCAAGATACCAGCCATCCATTTGTATACATGACTTCCGGCCACATCACTACACAAAACGAGAGGGTTGTTTCATGTATGCATCAGTTCATTCCAAACGCAGTTGCTGGCACGGCGCTTTTGGTTTTCCGCCAAGCACCATCATAAAGCGGGTCCTTAAACTCGGGAAACCATTCCTACAAGCAGAGGTCCCCAAACCATCGATAATGTTGACATGTTGTTGCCTTGTCTCTGGAAGTCATTTGTACGAATGGCTGGCATGTTGCACCAAATGAAAGGTTGCTGTTGGCCTACGGTCTTGCGAGCCTGCGCAGTGGGGAACAATCTTGGTTTGAGAACGTGATTCCTCTATCAAGTTCCACCATCGAAGCACTTGACTAATCACCCCGGCCAACCCAATCAACGTGAACTGGAGCTCCCCAAAACAATTCACGTGCGCAACGGGAAACCACATGTTCCGCAAGCCCAGCTGCAAGGTCTGACATGGAAGAATCATTCCTTGGCTGTGGAACCCTGACAAAGCCAGAAAGGCGACACGCCGGGAAGCCAAGGCGCCCTTTCGGAAGGGGCTGCAGAAAAACCCTCAGACCCTTCAGTGGAAACAACCACAAGGAGTACAAGTGCCACTATCATACGGCCCGTCCGCTGCAGCCACATTTATCACGGTCTTCAGACGAATAACTCTGGTACAAATCGAGCAAAATTATGGCTGCTGCATTTTGCTAAAGATATACGCACAATGATGCACCATGAACCTCGGTGGGAGCGCTTAGAGTTCGCGCGCGGTCTTTTTTTATTTTTTGATTGGCGACAAAATCGCGTGCGGACACCCCAAACCCCATGTCGCGCGGCCAAAACCCTTGCTCCAGCTGCCTCCAGTCCGCCTGAAGCGAGCCTGGAAGTGGTCGGCCCAGGGCCTTCCAACTCCAGTCAAAAATCATCCAGAAACGACTCAAGAAAGCATCCGGCGATGAGCTACGCGACCCAATGCGCCCTGCGACAAATAGAAACGCAAGAATCATAATCCCGAACCAGATCTGCTAGAGAAGTCGAGCCGGTCTCTGACCCGAAACAGCGGCAGGCCCCATCTCTCGATAAAAAGATGGCAGCGCATGAACGGAGCGCGTGCGCTCGAAAGACAGCTCCGAAAGACCTAGCAGCATTGCGCCCTAGCAGCGCACCATACGCGCGCGCCAGCAAAATGGCCAGGCGCTTGCGAGGAATGGCCGTCTTTGAGTTTGCCGCCCGAACCGCACACTTCGTGGCAAGGCGACAACCTTCCACCCTCTGGAGGCGCTGCTTCGCCAAGAAGCCATGCTGCACGGGCCGCGCGTTCGCAGGCCTTCTATCAAATGAAGAAGGAACCAGTTTGCAGGCTGCGTGCAACTCAGAACTTTCCTCACCACCGCCAGCACTTCAGTTTTACCCGCGCCCTGCTCGATCAAAGGAAGCAGTTTCTTGGAGCATGATCGGTGGTTGAAGCACGCCAAACATCCTGCAGCAGCAAGAAGGCCACCTTTAAAGATAACCCTCTGCGGATCGCTGCGTTCATGACTGAGCTTCATCGACTGCAGAACGCCCACCGAATCCCGCACATAATCTGCGTCCAGGGACGCAAACCGTACACGAATCTGCTCCAGGCAAGGTTGACACTCGGCAGAAAAACTCTCCCGGCCAGACTGCGCAGCAACGAGCAAACCTATCAGACCTTCGCGGGATATCACTCGGCACGCCATGGCACGACGCACCTCGCTGAAACCACTAATTTGCAAAAGACCACAGCCAAAATGACTTCTTAATTGCTGCTGCGTCAACGAAACTGTGATCCAAACGCTACTGCTTACTTCATCTTTTGCGCTGTCGGAAATTTGAGTCACTCAGGCAGCTGCTGCCAATCGAAGCCGATCAAACCACCCCGAGAATCAACTTCCCATCTACTTTCAATCGCCAGTCACATCCCCAACCGGACAAACCCTTTAGAAACCAATCAAATCCCCCCTCTAAAAACCGGTCCGCTGGTCAAATCAGCACAAATTCCCCCTAGAAACCAGTCAAATTCTGTAGAATTGTACCTTCGTTGGCCCATTCTGTGGCTCCCTGCGGCTCTCTTTCTGGCCCTCGAAGCCATGTGGAAACATGCGCCCACCCTCTACCTTGGAAACCAGCTCACGCATTTCGGCGCCGACTCACTCACTCGAACAAACACAACACTTCAAGGCTAAAACACAGTATATACCTGAAAGCCAGTCAAAAGCGGACTGGCCGAGGCGGGCAACGCGAAGTGTTTACAATAAGTAAATACAGAATGACTAGTCAACAAATGCACGTAATGCTTAAACCACTCATCATTTGACGTGTAAACTGCCACTTTCCTTCCACTGCTTCTGATCACGCGGAAACCAATCAACGAACTCCAACGAACGTTGGAATCGACCGCGCCTGAACAATTGCCGTGTAGGATCCGGAAATGACTTGCTTCAAACCTCAAAGAATGACCTACAGAAGTCCCAAAAACCGTGAATGATCAAGGATGGAACGAAGGCTGACCGAGATTCACCCGACAGGTCGATGTTCGTCTCTGGCCTTCACCAAACAGCTCACGCAGGCCCCATTGATCTGGTGGAAGACTGTGGCCTCGCGAATGCGCAAACTGCAGGCCCTGGTGAGTCGTGGGTCACGTCTCCAAATTCAGGGCTTCCTACAGGCGAGCCCTTTTTGGTCGGCGTTCTGGATAAACACTAGAATGAAACCCGCTTTATGCAAGTGCTTTCTCCCTGGAGGATTCGGTTGCTATACTCATCACAGTGTTGGCCATGCACCGGTGGGCAAAAAAGACATGGATGCCAGGGCAGGAGGAAGTGTGCAATACCAGACCTCACCCAGACCTCACCCTGCTGTGCTTGCTTTGCATCCCGCGTTGCCGTGGGTCAAATGTCAGTCATGTCACGTTAACACATCCAACACAAACACCAATGGAACACCCTGTTCCAACCAACCACCCCGTTGCAAAGTCCCGCCTTCATGGCGAATTTCTGGGGAGTCACCTTCGAGAAGGATGATGCCTGGCCACTCACGCCAGAGCCCCCAAAACGGCGAGTCAGTCACAGCAAGTTGCCTGGAACATCCAGTTGCCTCCCTGAAAAATGTTGCAGTTGAAAATCTGCAGCTCACTTCGTAAGACTGGATTGGCCAGAGAAGTCAAGAAGTCTAGCTTCCCCAAAAAGTGCCAAGTCCAGAAACTTAGGGAGTGCAGGAAAGCCTGGCACTCCAGTCCGAGTGGAGCCACCTGCTTCCTGAAGTTTCTTGCTTCTCAGCCTGCGCCTCGAGGCCATGGGGAACGACTCGACTCGCCCCGAATGGGCCGGCCGCTTCTGGATTCCGTGGATTCCGGAGTGGTGAGTGCCAATAGGGGACATCAGGTCACTTGGAAGGCCCAATAACTCGGAACCCCAAAACCAGGTCCAGACCGAACCTGGCCGTCCTGTGCATGTCCTGGTGAGAAAGAAAGGGCCGCGCAACTCCTCTGAGAGTTGCAGACCTTGCCATACACATGCGACATGTTGACGCCCCTGGATGACATTGGTTCGGCACTTGGACGGGCTGTGGAGTTTGGCAGCGTACCTCTTCATGAACTGTACAGTGATCAGCCTTTGCTACTTACTCGATTGGTTTCCGGCCCCAGGAAAAGGCCGAACCACTCGTCTGGTGACACAGAGTCACAAGAGTCACATGGCATGCAAAACGGGACGCCCAAGTTCAAGGTGCACGAGGTGGAAGAACGGAGGAAGCAATTCCTCTGCACCTCCGGGCAAGGCAGCCTGTTGAGCGCGTCTCCGAAGAAGCACACCTGCAAACAAAATGCCTCTGGAAGGCACAAGTCGGGGTGCTCGCGCAAAGCAAAATGAGAAACTGCTTGCCTGTTTCTCTGCTTCGCGCCCTTGCCCAACATGCTCCACCTTGAGACAAGACTATCGCCACTCGAAATTGATGGCACGCTCCACTTTCCGGACCCCTCTTGCGGCTCCGAACCAGCAGCTTCCGGCAGAAGACTGGAGACCCCCCTCCCACGTCAATCGGTGTGAGGCTCAACGTGTGCGGCCTCGACGCGTGGCAGACCTTGGTTGTATCCGTGGTAGTCTGTAGACCACTGTCCAATGCCCCATGGCTGCATTCCACGCCAGAGCAGGCTGCTTGTGTCTCACAACTGGAGACCTTGCCGAGAAAGACCAATGAATTGGCTCGACGTCGTTTTGCACGTCTTTGTTTTCTAAAGATATGTGGAGACAAAGGGATCCAACACAATCATGATTCCGAGACGCAACAAGGTGTAGGAGCTGCAGGAGCTGCCTAAGAACCCGGTCGGCACTCCGCTGAAGCAATGCCCCGGGCCACTCCATGCGGACTTTGGCATCGCCTCCGTCGCGGAAGCCCCGGTCCTGTGGCTTCAGTTCTTTTCCTTCGCCGAGAGCCAAAGCACATAGCGACGGATGCGACGGGATCACGGGAAATACTGTGGATGGACCAACTGCACCAGATAGCTGGAGTATCCCATTTGCAAAGTTTCAATTATCCCAAGTGGTGCGTTTCGTGGATTTTGTCCGCCTGTAGTACACATAGAGCCGGCGCACAGGGTCTGACATTGGCAGTCTCGGAGATCGAGCGCGCGAGCCTTCGACTGACGGTCAAGCGGAAAAAGAGCCTGGCCACAGCAAACCCTGTACAAGTAGAAAGGGCCCATCACTCTCCGTTACTCTAGGGCAAGCTTCCCCACTCTTTTCAGGGATCCTTTTTGTTTCAGGAAACCATCTTTAAACCAAAAAAAGAACACTTTTAATAATAATTAAAAAAGAGGAAACAGCGATCGGCTTTTGAGAGAAGACCGATGGTTGAACAGACTGGCAAAGGCGCCCTGCGCCTTCGATCTCAGAAACTCGTACACGATGCGGGCTGCCTCGCGGCGCTCGGCTGGTGTCACCGGGGTCCGGGTCACAGCTCGGAAGGCAGAAAATTTGCCAAGCGGCTGAATGTGGATGTTCCCTCCAAAAGTGGTCTGAATCCAACCACTAAAAGGAGACAGCCCCTATTAATTTATTTATCAACCAGGGGTTAATCTGGGGTTAACATTAGGAAACTCATGGACCAAAGACTGGCCTCATGATTTCACCAAAGTCGCCCCCGTTCAGTGGTGGGTTCCAGGGAAACAACCGATTCCATTTTCTGACTTTGATAACCCCCAGAAACTGTCAAAATAATGACCTTAGTGGAACACAAGCAGAAACTCCAACTGGTTGGTGTCAGTTGCCATTCCCAATCGCACCTCACATGTTGCTTGCATTGAGTCATGTTTGCCATCAAGGTCAAAATGAGCTACACATCCCTGAGCCACATCCCGTTGGCCTTCAGTCGAGACTTCGCAAAGATCAGTGAATCAACGGCGCGTATCAACCGCCCCCGACCGGGCTTTGCCAAACTGCGATGGCATGCCCTTGGGCCAAATGACAAAATGGAATCACATTGCTGTGTCTAAATAGGGAGCCCCCGTGAATTGCCTTTGACCTGCAAAAAGTACCCAGCCCGCGAAAATTCCAGCTGGGGCAAGCCCCTCCTGTGCTGCACCCACGCCGCTTGGCAATTGCACCGATGTACTGAAGCCGCAAAATGGTTCCTGGCGAGAAACAGAACCGAGCAATTCAGGGTTCCGTTTTTTGACTAAGGCAGGAGGCTTAAAACCAGCGGCTTCCCTTTTGTGGAATTTAAGTCCACTTTGGAGTTGTCAACAAATGGAACCCTGGGTGGAAACACATTGCAAGTGAACCAACCACAAACCAAGGTGAATCCTAGGGTCTCCTTGTTCCCAGGCCTACTGGGATATACTTGCAATGCTTCGAGAATCCACCGTGACTCGCAAATCCAAGCCGACCGGCCAACGACTAAGCTACGCCACCTTTCCATCTCTTCTTCATTTCCCATCTGTTCCTCACCTCTTTCCTGTGGGTGAATCCAAATGATAGAAAGGAATGCCATCTCTCCCCCTGACAAGAGCTGCTCCTTTTGGACGCCAAACCCCGTGCTCCCCGCAGTGACCAGCTTGAAAGCTATGCAGGTCCCAGCTAGCTAGCTCTGCCCTGCCCGCTCCTGTGCAGGTGGAACACCTTCTGGAAACTCAGGATTCTCGTAAGCAACTTCGGGAACGCTGTGCACCTGTCTCAAGCAAACGTGGCAGCTGAAAAACAGAAGCCCAAGTCTGCTCTCAGAAGCGAAGGGCATAGCAACGGACGAGAGCAGCTGGTGGCTGGACATGAGCTCTACGCCACTCCGGGCTGAAGTCACGTGGAGAGAATCAGTTGACATCAATGTCCGCAAGGCGTCTTGGGCAAAGCCGGAATTCAACAAGTTTCCAGGGGGGCCCCCGATCAAACCAGTGAAAAGGGATGCAACGTGCAGTATGTGCAAGGCAGCCCCCTGGACGCCTTGTCCATTGGGCTCGGCTTCAGCTCGAAGTCATATGGCAGACCTGGAATCCCTGGCATGAAGGCATTGTCCTCTCCTGCAAGTCGCGGCTTGCTGCATAGGCTTGCCGCTGCTGAGAAAGAAATTGCCCAACCCCCCAAGGTTTCATCCGAGCAAACTTGATCTACTTGATCTGTGAGCCACTACATACTGGCCATTTGGATTCTCAACGACAACAAAAAAGAAAGTCACCCACTTGCTCTGGTCAAACCATTTCACCCAGCAACGACGCGACGAATGCACGATCGCCTCTTGCAAACACACGGGCTCTCCTGGATGATGCAGCCCAAACATCGGCGGCTCCGCCTTTAGCGGTCGGGACGGTCTTTTGACATTAGTCTGAAATGTCCGGCGCCCATGGGGTTTGAAAGCCCTTTCTTGCTGCCCAGACCACTGGGTAAGAAGAGGGCGCCGCTGCGCCGCTGAATGATTGAGCGCTGACGCGCCGAATCACAACAACATGTGCATCAAGCTGTGCCATGGCATCTGAAAGGAGCCTCCAAAAAACCAAAGCATGTTGCGCAAACCCAACGCCCCAGCTGACTGGCTGACTGGCTGAGTGTTGGCCCCTTCTGTTTGGGCCCGCAACTCCGCCGCGCTCGGCTGGAAGCGCGACGGACTGATTCCTGCTTCACTTGGCGCTTTCCCTCCCCAGCCCCCAGCCCCCAGCTCAAGCCCAGTCCCTGAGACCCATTCCAGCCACCTCGTCGGGGCCCTCGCTCGAGTGCCGGGCTGCGCCCAGGCCCCAAAATCATTTGCTCCAAGCCCACATTGCTCTTGCGGTCTTTTTGAGCCTGACCAAGGCGAGGAGCGCGCTCCTCGCGCATACGATCAGACCTAAGGCAGCTCGCTGGTTCGGCTTCCGGACTTCCAGGTACCATCGCCGCAAAAAGACGCAATCCAAGCGGCTAGCCATACTCAAACCGACATGCCAGGAACCACCGCACCTATGAGGACCCGCCCGAGTCGAAGCGTTGAGTCGACCATGCACGATATCTAACAGACTATGCCGCGAAAGATCTAGGTCTTCCCATGGCAAATGTTTCCATCCTAGCTGTTAAAGACAACAGGCAAAGTGGTGGAAGCAACCAACACTGGGCAGTCTCAAATGAGGGGGAACTCACCCGAAACTATTTGCCGAGGAGGGTAACGACTGCAGTCATCTAGATTCATCGTTGGGGCCTCTGCATTCATCTTAACGCTCTGTTTTGCTTTGATCTGCCATGACTATTTTGATGGGCACCCCATTTTTCTTGCTGGTGCGATAAGAATCGTGTTTGAATGAACACAAGCCTTGGTCCCCTAGGCAAACCACCAGCAAGGGATGGTTTATCTCGGGGTCATTCCATTCCCTCATTCCCTGCATCTCTGGCACCAGCTTTTGGTTTTTTGGGGGATCGCGAGCCCGAAAGCTTTGGGAGCCCCCAGGGGCTGATCCGCGAGGTCCTCCAGATTCGAGAGCTTAGACAGGGATCCTTACATTAGACACCTGAACATTGCCTTGTAAATGGTGGTTCCCCCTTATTTTGCTGGAAAAAGCCATGTTTCAACTGGGCAAAATGTATCTTTTAAGCAGCCCTGTTGAATAATGGGGTACCAACCTTTTTTCCTGTAGCCCATGAAAAGGGGAACCCAAAACCCCAAAAAAGAAAGGGTCAAAGTTGGCGCCTGGCTGGACCTAGTCCAAGAGCGTGCCGATCCGCGGCACCCAGGCGAGCGCTCCCGAGCGCGCTCCCGGCGAGCGCTCCCCTCGGGAGTTTTTTCTGAGCCGCCGGGCCGGCATCGGCAGCAACTCCACACCTCGAGAGACGTTCTGAGGCCTGAGAGACGTCGATGTTCGATTTCCGCGCGAGGCGCGCTTTATGCCAAACTTTATGCGCTGGACTCCTACTTGGACACTTGGCCGTGGATGAAAAATAGAGTAACCCCAAAACGGGTTGCCCCTGTAAATGGACACATGGATTGAAACCGGGGTTTTTCTGGAAAACCCTGTACCCCTGGTGAACATCGAGATAGGTGGCAAATGGATGTTCATCCACCCCAAAATCGCTCGCCATAGGTTATGCAACCCATGGCCACTTCATCCCCCGGCACCAGATCCAATACATGCGGCGGGTGCGTGGGGGGCGCGGGAGCTTGAGGAGACGATCAAACCAAAGCCAAGTCCGTTGCAGGCTTCAAGTCAAAGGCAAAAATGCCAGGGTTTCCCTCTCTGCACCCTTCACCGTTTCTTGGGGTTGTCACCCTGCAGTGCATCCCCTAGCCCCCCATCCCCCCCGTTCAACCCACTTCAAGGAATGACGTGTCGGACTTCAGGCGAATCTTCCCCAGGCCCACAGACTCTCGACTCAGCCGCCCACAAGTTGTAGAAGTCGCCAGCTAGCCGCAGATCCGGTTGCTCGAGCCTGGCGTCAGAGTCTCCCCAGATCCTCGAAATCCATCGGAACTCCCATTTCAAAGTCCCTCGCAACAAGCATGCACCTTTTGCGGCGAAACTATCGTGACGAAATGGCGTCACCATGTTGGACGCACAAGGAACCTGACTCCGGTTCAAAGGTGACTCGAAATCAACGAGCGTTCTGGCTTTTGAGAGTCGAGGGCGTGGGATTTATGCCGTGTTTTTAAGATCGATTTACATGTGTGCTGCTCTTCGGGCGGTCTTGGGCCCGCATGCAACACAGCCCACGCATAAATTGCTCTTGCCGTGCGCACCGAACCAACGCAACCAAATCCACCTGCACACGAACACAGGCAAGCTGTGCATATCTTGAGCCTGTACCCAGCTTAATGTTGGACCCTCTTTACACGTCCCCCCCCCCAAAAAAAAAACAGTGGGAACAGTCAGAGCCTCTTTAGAGAACATCCTGTGGTAACAGTCAGATCATGACCCTTAGAGAACATTCTGTCCATCCTGCAAATACTTTTCCAATTGCTAACGGGCATCTAGTCAAGCTCCTGGCTTCCCTGGATCTCTTCGCAACCACACACATCATGGCAGAGAATGGGTAAAAGGTTTGACCTTGCGGCGCACACCCACCCCGAAACCCGAATCAACGACTCCAAGAAGTCGGGGATGTGCAGGTTTAATCCTGAAAGAGCATAGCTAAGTAGCTAAGGGCAACGATTCTAATCATCTAGGGATCCCATTCTGAATACTGGTAAGCCTGGAACCTGAAACAACCGCTTGCAAATGGTGTCTAAACTGCCATTTTCAATCAAGTAGGTCTATCCACAGGAAATGGCTGTTTGGGAAACTACATACCATTTGTAAGCGGTTGTTTCAGGTTCCACGAGGAGCCATCTGGTGGCTCTATGGGCAGCAATGATGAAGCTAGAAGCCAACCCCGTCCGCCAAACTTGACCTTCGAAGAGTCACCTTGATTTTGCTTGGAAGCCACCAAAGGGTTTGATCTGTGGCAAAACAAGTTGTGCTTTACCCAAGTGAAACCAATCAAGCATCTTCGGAACTGTGCTCGGGAGCTGTCCTCCTATATTGTCTCATATTGGTTTGGCACTAAATTTGGCTTGTCTCCCCCTTAAGTATTCCTTGCTGCACGGGACCCGCAAGAACTACATCTTTGGGGGATTCCTCTCCTGAAATGCTTTGCTCAACATCGCCAGGCCCACGACACGGTAGACATGCCAGGGAAGTCGCAGAACACTGGCGCCTCAAACACACGTGGCTGTGGGTCAACAATAGAGTAACCCCAAAATGGAACCCATGCAAATGGAAACATGGACCAAAACCTGCGGTCCCCTGGCGGCTTTACTTTGACCCATACCCACGTAGCAGATCGCTAGCTCTGCTTGCGGACTGCCACATGCCAACCTGATGTCAATCATTGACACGTCAGACTAGTTGTTGAGCTGGTGGCCAACGTTTGACCCAATGTGAGCTTCGGAATGCGAGGGGGGTTGGGATCAGCAGCGCCGATTGCAACGATTCTGGAGCAGACCTCGCAAACAATCACGCAGGGTCCGCTGGTCCATCTGCTGAGCCAAGCTTGGTAGCACTCCGACAAAATCCGACGAACCACGGCTTGCCCAGCCTGCGAGTCTTGGACCAACCACAAAAAGTTAAGGGCGTCGACACAATGTGGCAATCTGCAAAATCAAGCCAGGTAAGGAGCACTCCTGAACTGGTGGTCCATTTTTCAGATGGTTCTACCTGGTGACAAAGGCAGTTGTGGAGTCACAAGTCAATGGGCTCGGGCACTGAGGCGACCAGCGTGAGGTCATCAGCTTGGGGGGCCGGGCCATCGGCGGACGGTCTGCATCTGGCAGCCTAGATTCCAGCTCTAGCACGGCATGCCTGGGCGAAAGGAAAAAGACTTCATGCCCTGTGCCTGAGGTCCCTTCCTGAAAAAGGATCTTCAAATGCAAGTTGGGATTTCCACAAACACCCCACTCAAGGTCCTGCAGGAAACCTTTTCTGCAGGGATTAGCTTGGGATCTCTTCTATGCTTTAGGCACACACACACACATGCACACCTACGCCCAAAAAGCTCAATGACGGAGGCAAATGCTCAGTCTTCGATCTGAAGCTGGCAGAAATTTGGATCAAAAGGCTTCGGATTCCGGATGAAATTCTCTTCTAATGCGGCCGCAACAAGCAACAAACACCACTCAAGAAGAAAGGGTTTGGCTGTTGAGCGCCAAACGAATGGAAGAGCCTTTGCCAATTTGACAATATGTCTGACCAAACATCATGCATGCCGCCGATGCAGCAACGATCCAAGGCGAAGGCTCCTCTTCTGCATTGCTTCGGTTGTTGTTGTCCAAGTACCTGCGAGCGTGGGCATCCACAAGCCGTGGACTCGACTGAGAGATGATCATCCGAGGAATTGTCTGCACCTCGACTTCAAAGGTGATTGAGAGAGAGACCCGCATGAGCGCCGAGAATTTCAATGCCGACTCCGCCCCTCCACTTGGCATCCTTGCCAATGATGATTCGATTGAGGCATGCTTCGAGGTTCAGCTTCGAACGACAACTTCAACCTGCTCGCCCCGACACGGCCGCAGGTCACATATGGATGATCCTCGCTCTGCGCGTGAGGAGAAAAAAGGTCCTGCGCGAGAAGCGCTCATGCCATTTGGCGCAAGATCTTGCAGTGTGGACAACTTTTCTTTCGGAATAGTTTACACGCCTAAAATGACCAAATGAACAAGGAACCCCAACGAGTCGTCCACGGGAAAAGGTGTTCCATGTTGAATTTTGACGTCCAAGGCAAAAGTATACAACATCAGTCAAGCCAAATTACAAGGTGCTGAAACTACCATAGGAAACTACAGTACTTGAGGCATTTCAGAGGAAACGACCCCAACAGCGAATCAATGCCTGGCAAAAAACATGTCGCAACTCGGCAGATCGGTCACTGCTGGCTCCTTCCCAGATCTCACTGTGACATGAGATGGCCGCGACCTACCCCAAGGTAGACTTGAACCCAGAGGTCCCCCTGGTCTACCTTGGGCTTGCTCAAAGAATATGTTTCTTGTTTTTCTTTGCGGGGAGGGCTTTCCTTTAGGGGGTGGCGTGTGACGGGACACCGCCAAGAGGCGGCTTTTGTGGACCCAAGTTTGATCTCTGCAGGTTCCGTCCCTTTTCGAGGGACGATGGATTCCACCCAGGCTCCCATGTTTGTCAAGGGCCTTCAATATTGGAAACAACGAGGGGGGCCTTCTTTAATCACTAGATTCTATTCGGCCTTACGCGAATCTAGTGGGATCGGGGCGCCGCTTTGCGGGGGCCCTTGATAAGAAAACCCCACAGGATCAGCAAATGGCCGGGAGCCGGATCCACGGTGGAGCAAGTCGGATCAAGAAGCAAATTTCCCTTCCGTCACCCCGTCTGAGGCCCTCTGTCAAGGAGCAAGGTCCACCATGTACTGAGCGGACTCTGACAGAGTCTGCCGCCAAAACCAACACACGACATTCTGGGCCAACTGAATCTCAAAAGTCTGGCGCGCACGTCATAAGGAGTCTATTGCACCACTTGTCGCGGGTCCATTCTTTGGGCGTCATAAGTGTCCTTTTGGAAAAATATATGGCCCTGGTAGACGACTAGAACCAAAGGGAAACCAGCGCCATCGATTTTCAAACAATCTAACCTCAAAAGGACACCTACTGTGGATGGACCATATCCGTTCGCACCACATGGAAACCATGGGACCCCATTGTTTGTTGGTATTTACAGGGGGAATCATCCGAAACCAGGGTCTCTGAGGTGGTGCGCAATGGATTTCGGTTCTATTGGACAAACGAACAAGCGGGGATACGGAGGGAGCGGGGATAGGGGGGGATTTCTCATATCAAACCTAGTCAGGGTGCATTTAGGGGGAATCCTCCCGTATCCCTGGTTCCCCAGGTTGTGTTCGCAACCCGCCGCACAATGGCGACCAGGAGGAACAGTCGGCACAATCACAATATCTCGCCCAAGAACAAATAGACATGACTTCCTCGACAACCATGTTTTGTTTTGGGACTCGGGCAACTCGCGCCCCGGCCTCACCGCGAGCGAGAAATTTCGAGGGAACGCTTGCCGGAGCGCCCCTTTGAGCCACGACCGGTCAAAGGGCCAACCGGCGAGCATGAAGCCAATGGTCGGGTCAAAAGGTTCCCCAGTTCTTCGTAGGGGGTGTCCATGGGTTTAGTGGGGAATCATCACTATTGGAGGGGAACACCCCCCTAGTAATAAACAGGTTGGTTGATGAACATCTGGGGTCAACAGTATCTTGTTCATCTAGCTCCTCCAGTAGAGAAGGGTACCAACTTGTTGCTGTCTATTTTAGGGGAACCCTCCGCTAAAAAGGGTAAAAGGGCACTACTGGGGGGAGTGTAGCATACAAAAAGCCAAAAAAGAGACCCTCATGCATTGACCAGGATTGACGATGCACGACTCGGGGATGCGGCACATAAAAAGACCTGAACAAACAGTTGGACTAGACTATGGCACGCCATGGGTGAGATAGGGTAACACGTGGTTGCAGATTTGTGTAACAACCCGAATATTAAACTAGGATGATAGAGATAGACGTGCCATCTAAACATACCTAACCTTTTTGGCCAGTGCTTTCTGGGGGGTCCTTTTGGAACAGCTTCGGAACGCGAACATCCACGCGCAATTCGCGCCGGGTTTTCGTTGGGACGTCCTTTCAAGCGCCCGCCCCTTGCTGCGCAGGCTTTGGACCGGGAGTCGGGAGTCGAAGTGACCGGCGAATCTGAAAAAGTCGAAGCTGGGTGGGTGTTCTGCTGAACAGTTCCAACCGAATTATCTGCAACCTGCACATGAAGAACAAAACAATGTGTTTCAGAAAGCACCGGAATGACTAGCTCCCGACTTAAAGCAATCGACTGCGCAAAAGCTAAAAATGGCCGAGGCCCGCCTTCCACACACTGAAGGTGTCTGGGTCACGCGACCAAAGGATTGGTTCTCCCGCTGTGCCATGTGCCAAGTTTGGATCATCTTGCTTGGTTTTTTAAACTTCAAGGCACCAGCAGCGGTGGTCGCCTTCCTAAACCCAGGCACCTCATTCACTGTTACACGCCAATAGATTGAGCCAGTGACCAGGCCGCGCATTGTTTGTGCAGGTGCATCCGAACAGCGCAAAGAAAACCGGGATGCAAAAAGAAACCCACCCATGCTATGGGTGGGAAACCCACAGCATGGGTAGCTTCCCTGTGGCTTCCCTTTGGATAAACCCCACGAGGGTAGCTCGAACAAAGACACACCCATATTAGGCACTTAGATGCGCTTCAAGGGGAGCAAGGAGCAACATCCACCTGGGCCAAGTGGCACACACTCTGGGAGAGGTGTATAAGAAAACGCCAAAAGTCACAAAAACATTCTATATAAAGGGGCGAAACCAGTGGAGCTACTTACAGGATGTTCAGCCAGCCAGAGTGTGCCTTGGAGGGTTCTGTTGCCTCACTGCTCAGCACCTGCTGAGTTGTCCAGTTCTTCATCATCCTGCCGCAAGGAGAGATGCACAAAGGCATCTGCTTCAGCACACACCGACACTTTACTCTCAACCTCTCTCTGTTTCTTTGACAAACGAACAAGCGGGGATTCGGAGGGATATGGGGGGATTCCCTTGGCGCCATTCCCATATCAAACTTAGTCAAGGTGCATTTAGGGGGAATCCTCCCGTATCCCTGGTTCCGCCTGTATCCCTACTAGTTGGTTTCCCTGATGTTTCTCTCTCACACTCCTTCACACATCCTCTCCCAAATGAAACGGCATACAAAGCTGAACCTGTTTGCTCTGGCCAGCGCCGAGTAGCCTATCTGGCAAGCCTCAATCATCTGCGGCTTTATGAGGACTGAGGCCCTGCATGATACGTGACCCATGCTTCTCCTCAAATCTGAGGGCATGCGACACTTTGCGACATGCTGACTACGCACATCTGCCAAAAGACAAGGAGCTCCGCACAAATATTGACATAAATGTCTGGCTAGTCGCTTGCTTCACACTGACTGGCCAGTACTTGGCTGTGGGACAAAAATGAGCACCCTAATGGAACCCTGGTAAATGGACAAATGCACCAAAACCTGCGGTCCAATTCCTGGTGCCTTAAATTTTAGTTGACCCATACCCACTTCAGCCAGAACCAAAAGGCAAAAACAGTCTCTGAGTTGGCGAACCTTGGTCCCTCAAACGGGCCCAACGGCCTGTCAATGGTGGTTTCCCTTTATTTTGATGTTGAAAAAGCCGCGTTTCAAATGGTTGCAAAATGTATCTTTTAAGGAGCCCTGTAAAAGTCTCTGAGTTGGCGAGTCCGGGCCCAACGGCCCACCTTTTTCCAGGTCCTTGGCATAGAGGATGTTCTGGACCTCCTCCACAAACTTGCTGACCGTCATGCTGGCATCTGGGTTCTCCTCCCAAGCCTTGCCATGATCCCGATCTCGCATGGGCGAGCGAGGGGGAGGGGGGGGAGGGAGCCGCAAAAAACCCTTAAGCCCCCATTTTGGGCTTATTTTGGCTCCCTCCCCCTCCCCCTCCCCCCGAGCCCCCATGATCTCTCTTCTGCCAAGTCCAACATTGTCCCACCCCAAGATCCCCAAGAAACCTTGTCATTTTAATGAGCGTTGGTGTTTATTCCCTACAAACTTGCCTGGACATTATTCAAGCTTCCACGGACCCTTCCGCATCCTTGCCGCGTGCAGGTTTCTTGGGCGAACTTCCGCGAGACATGTGTCTCATTGTTTGCTTCCGCAAACCTTCCGCGGCGCATGCTTTACAAGATTTGCTTCCGCGAGTGTGCACGCAGAAAAGAAAGTCATTTAAGCAAGGAAGGAAAGTAGTGGTTCGCAGCAGCCTGTGTAGACTTGGGCTCCATTCGGCTACCTGTGCTACGTGGGCACTTGCCCGCAAACACGGGGCCATGCTTCCGCGGAGCTTCCGCGAACCTTCCGCGAAATCCGCCGGCTGTTTTGGTCATCTTGGCTTGCTGTGCTCTTCTAGCAAGCGCTGCGTTTCTTGTACGCAGCAACACCTTTCTGCTTCTACTGTAATCACTCTTTCGTGCTTTTCCACGCACGCAAACTGAAACAATGAGTTTCATATCAGCCACAAAGCTTCCACAAACCTTCCGCGAAGGAAACCTTCCGCGAAGCCTTCCGCATGCTTCCGCGCGTGTGGGCGCGGTGCACATTGTGGAAAAAAAAAGGCGCCCCTCTCCCTACATCGCTTGCGGCCAACAAAAACGGCCGCTCATTTGATGGCACGTGTCACTAAGTCTTGTACCGGCTATACGTCTGTGTTCCTCCGTGCTGACAACGGATTGTCAGTAGAGGAATCTCCCTGGGATCTCCTTTCAGGGGCTCCATTCTTTCATTTGCGGGCGAGTAAACGACTGCTCAAATGCCCAGTGTTTCACGGGAAAAACGGGCATCCTTTTTTTGCTTGGTTGACCTCAAACAAAAGTTTTGCAAAAAGGGGCGGAATCCGCTGCGCAGGGTGAAAAACAAAAAAACCACGCCCACTGGGCGTGTGCTTTTTTTAAGGAGACCCCGTAAAATTATGGTGCTTTAAAACCCCAAACAAAAACCAGGCGCCCTCCAACGAAGACTCGACACGACACCAGACCCGCTCTCAAAATCGGCTTTCAGCGGCGGAAAGCGGCGGAAAGCGCCTGGCACATGATCTCTATGTCACGGAGCTTCTGGAAGTAGAAGTCCCGCTCGGTTTCTAAACCGTCCACCTGGCGGCCGGCGCGCGCGTTTTCGTCTTTTTGTTTGCTTTTTTGGTTTTTGTTCACACACATCTAGGAGTCCTCCAGATTCGAGAGCCTAGAATAACTGGGTACCAACGTTTTTTTCTTCTGTAGTCTATTTTAGTAGGGGAACC